GTGGCTGTGGAGGAGGTGCAGCGCTAAACCTCCAGAGCCGTGTTTAATATCGCTGGGAGAGCGCGAGGAGCTTAGAACTAGAGCTTCGGCTTCCCGCCAAACACACGCAGTCCTAACGCACGCACACACACATACACAAACTCCTCCGCAGTAAAATGAGACAACCCTTCCCCCCTCCTCCTCCTCCTCCTCCTCCTCCCCTTCGCTCCGTCCTCTAATCTCCCTCTCTAGAATGCTTCCCTGCGCTCCCCTGCAATCAATGCATCACTCAGACGTTTAACCCCTTCCAGCGCTGCCTTGCGATTCATCTCTCTCACACACACACACACAGGATGTCTGTTTACGAATGCGTATCACAGCGGATGATGCATGACTGAAGTTCACAGTTGAAAGAAAGTTGATGCGTGCTCTGAAAAGTGAAATGTGTGAATGACTGAGGATATGTCTGCACTCTTAACTGCCTGAGTGCAGACTGAAGCCACTGATGAGTTCTCAGTTAACTGACAGAACGCAGAGGAACTAATATTCTTTAGATTCAATTAACAAAACTAAGACAAAAAGAACAGAGACAAGGGAGAAGTCACCTATTGCTGCTGCTCGGCCACAGCCTTGTGTAGGTCAGTGACTGTTCTGGTTGTAAATTAGAAAACCAAAGGAGTAAAATTACAGGCCTGCTTGCAGTGGCTGAAGGAATGCACGTTGCTCACTAACTTTCATACCAGAGTTACAGATTAAGATCATCTTATGTTGAGAAACATCACATGCAGACAGTGGGTGAACCTTTAAAGGTTATGCACGATTTCATGAAACCTGTCAGGGTCTCAGTTGTGAAGGACGACATTAAATCTGTCAATTTTTATGTAACAATACTGATTACCTGTGGCGGCCATCTCAAAATTTATTTGGTTGCAGTTTCAAGATTATTTTTTAAAGGTTTCATTAAAATCCACCCTGTGGCTTATGAGATGTTTAACTAACAGACAGTGTTGACTTCAAATAGTCTTTGGCTACATTTTAAGCAAAGATCCAAGATCAGTTAGCTTGTAGACACTTTGCTACATTTTCATCTGAATTAGGTCAAGCCTAATTTGACAGATTTAATATTTCTTAAGAGGCTCTTGTGCAACATTAATTTCATCATTTGTACCAGTCAGAGTCAGCTCTATCACTCTTTGGATGACCGAATGTAGCCCTGATTAATGGGACTCAGTGGATCGGTGAGCACGAACAGACAATAAAACCTCCATCCTAAAGGTGGCACCAGACACACACACACACACACACACACACAAACACACAAAAAACCACTAAAAGAGAAAGAGAAACAACACAGATGCTTGTTTTGATTTTGTGAGAACATTTGTTAGTGTACAATATTTAACAATTCCTTACACAGGGACCATGAGGACAAAGTTCTACTTCCTTTAAAATAGGGAGCTGACAAACCAGCTCATTATCACCACCTATCAGGCTGGAGTGTGAAACTACAGACCTGTGTTTGACCGTGATTCAAAAATACATTTTTTTCATTAAGTTTTAATCAGCATTTTATTCATGTGTACATCATTTTTGGCTGAAACATAAGTTTTTAAAACATYTTAATATTTCCTCAAACATACATTTTGGACTGCACGATCATTGGTTTTAATTAAAGATTTTTTTCATCCAGGTATGCCAGATGAAAAGCATAAATTCAATGAAGAAAAAAGCAGATAATTCTCACATTATTGTCCACCAAGTCTAACCAGACCACAGACCAAATGCTCCATCTCCTTTAAAGGACAGATCCTGTAGTTTAAAACCATTTGCCACCCGTTTATCTTTTCAGTCAGTGTGTGTTACGATATTAAACAAATCCCATAATAGTAGCCATTTCCCCTCAGACTTTCACAATCACAGATGCCGATCCAACGAAATACTTCTAATAAAACCTAACTTTTGTTGTTGCTTGGATCTCACATTGATCTAAAGAGGGAGAACTCAGAAGAGAATCACGGAGAGGAGGATAAATGACAGATTGCACCTTTATCTGAGTTTTCGACGGGCAGAGCTGAGGGGCTCCGATCACCGGCACGAGAGGGATGAAGACATCCGCAGAATCTCTCCTCATTACCATTTCAAATGCTCAGCGAGCGAGGCAGACGAGGGAGCGCGGGAGAATAAAAGGGGAGTGAGGGAGGCAGGAAGACGGAGAGAGTGGGCTTTCATGTGCAGAGGCACGGATTGCAAAACTAAATGAACATGAAATATGCACGGTGCCGGCCGGGGCCTCGGGAACGCCACAGAACAGTGTGTGTGCGAGATGATTTTGAGAGTATTGGCTTTTTACACAAAGGGATGCCTGTGCGTGTACAAACAACCAGTGCTTCTCTGCATGTGTGCACGAGGCGATTGTGAGTTTCAGCTCTGTGTGGGTGTGTGACAGCAGCAGCAGCAGCAGCAGCAAGTGTGGAGAGTTGTCTCTCTGTGCAGCATATGGAGACGAACACGTCAGGGATGTCTGTGCATGTGCTTATTGGGTCAGGGAGGGTATTTTTTTCCTCTGCATACTTCCTTGCACACTCATAATCAGAGTGTGTGTGTGTGTGTGTGTGTGTGTGTGTGTGTGTGTGTG